TGAATGTGTGTGCATGCATGTGTATATTTGTGTGAGCATGTGTGTATGTGCATGCATATGTATATTTGTATGTGCACGTGTATGTGTATGTATGTGTGTGTTTGTGTGTGTCTCTGTGTCCACGTATGTGTGTTTGTGCATGCATGTGCATATTTGTGTATGTGTATCTCTACATGTGTGCATGTGTACACTTATGCATGCATGTGTGTGTGCATGGGTGTATGTGCATATGCACGTATGTGTTTGTGCATGCATATGTGTGTGCATGTGTGTATGTGTGTGCATGTATATGTGTGCATGCATGTGTATATTTGTGTGAGCATGTGTGTATGTGCATGCATATGTATATTTGTGTGTGTGTGTGTTTGTGTGTGCGTGTCTGTGTCCACGTATGTGTGTTTGTGCATGCATGTGCATATTTGTGTATGTGTATCTCTACATGTGTGCATGTGCACACTTGTGCATGCATGTGTGTATGCATGGGTGTGTTGCGTGTGCATATATGTGGGTTTGTACATGCATGAGTATATTTGTGTGTGTGTGCAGAAGGTAGAGAAGAAAAGTAATCACAGGGCTTGGTGGTGAGCACTCTGGGGAGCCTAATACACACTCCACTTCTAAGAAAATTCATACAACTCATGAAATACCATTTTCAGTATAATTTCATTCTTAAATTAATATCACTGTCTGCTCTGTCATCAATCAGTGATTCCCCGTTCTCTGTGACTGCGTCCGGTTTTGCAATAGCCCACGGAACATAAAGACATGCATATCGGTCGGCGTGGGCTGCTGTAACAAGATACCGCAGGCTGGGAGCTTAAACAGTGGGAATTTATCTCTTGCTGCCCTGGAGGCTAGAAATGCACGGTGAAGCGGTGGGCAGCTTCGGTTTCATCCCGGGCTCGCGGATGGCTGCTTCCTTGCTGCGTGGTAAATTTGTGTCATTTGAAGCCACTAGGTTTGTGGTGCATTGTGACAGCAGTCATTGGAAATTCATAGAGAGCCCGAGGGTGTTGAGGACGGCGGAGGCGGTGGGGGGGCGGTTGCTGACACTCGAATGGATATGAGCACTCATGAAGATCTGATGAACAGGACAGATTAGAGGCAGTAGTAGAAGCTGTGGGGGAAAATATCGAGTTTTTCCTGTTCTGATTTGCTTGACCATTGGGCGTGCACCTGCATAAAACACTCAGCTCCGTGAAGGCGGGACTGAAGTCTATTGGCTGAGCTGTTTTTGTGCACCGCCTGCCCTGCCTGGCATGCTTAGGTGCTCCATGAAAGCCCTCTGGAGGAAGGTTGAAACGTCAGGGCACACGGCAACCCACGCCTCTCTCACGTTCACGTCCCATCGCCCACAGCTCAGTGCAACCCAACGCGTGGACTGCGATGCATTATGGCCATATTTCCTGGGACATCATAAGCTGCCTATTTATCAATTATGATCTAATTTGATTGGATCCAGAGCCGCTTTATGCCCGTAAAGCAGATGTTTTAAGCCCGTCCATGGAGCATGTGGTTTTCTCTTCCACAGATGATACCCGCCGGTGGAGGAATTCCCTCCCTTCATCCTGAGTGCAAGCTTCCCAAACTGCCTCTTCTGGCCACCTTTGGCTCTCCTTCACCTATCCAGGCAGGCACTCGATAAATAATTACTGAATAGATAGCGAATGCATGCCAAAGTAGTGCTGTGTGAATTTCGAGGCAGCCGACACTGAATTCATCATGAGCCCAGGCAATGTGGTCTTGTTTTGTTTTGTTTTTTAATTCCAGTCCAACATCTCTATCCTTGTGGAGTTTCTACAATATGAATGCAATCTCCACATCCAACCTTCAAATCTCTGTGGTCACAGGAGAGGCAGCTCAACTGGGAGACTTTCCAGCCCAAGAGAAAAACCACTGACCTTGGAGCTGGTCAGCTGCTGTGATCTTGGAGCCGGTCAGCTGCTCTGACCTTGGAGCTGGTCAGCTGTGCTTCCGAATGCCAGGGCCCTTGTGCAAGTCATGCATCTCCTAAGAAACGATGATATTACTTTTTCTCTTGAAGATGTGAGTGCCGTGAGCTGAATTATGCACCCCCAAAATTGATGTGTTGAAGCGCCATTCCCCAGGATCACAGAATAGGGCTGGATTCAGAGGTGGGGTCTCTAGAGAGGGGATCAAGGTAAAATGAGATCACAGAAGTGGGCCCTGATCCCATAGGAAGGGGGTCTTTAGAAGAAGAGGGGATGAGGACACAGACATGCACAGAGGGACGACCATGTGAGGACACGGGGAGAACACGGGGTCTACACACCCAGGAGAGAAGCCTCAGGAGAAACCAGCCTCAGCCCCGCCTGGATCTCGGATTCCCAGCCTCCAGAACCGAGATAATAATATATGTCTGTTGTTTGAGTCAACCTGTCTAGGGTGTTTTGTGAACACAGTAAGTTATAGTTATGCTATGTGTATGTATGTATATATCTCTATTTCCTATATACATACCCAAATATATATATATATAATGTATACCCAATTATGTATATATAAAATACATAACATAATTGTATATGTATATATACACATATATACAACTATATATAACGATCTGAATTATATTTATATAAAATGTATACTCCAGTATGGGTATGTATAGATAGATAGATACATAGATAGATACCTGAGTATATATACTATATATACAAAGTGGCCAAGAGTAGAGGAATAAAATTGTCAACAACAAGACACTAGGGATAGAAATGTAACAGTCATGGCGCTGGTTATGCATCTGTCCACGCCATTCAAAACCCACCCACCTGTACCCCGGAAAGGGTGGCTCTTCTTGAGTGTAAATTACGTCTCATTAAACGTGAACTGCAAAAGAAGGAGCCTCATAGTATTTATCCCTTCTATCCGTTAGCAAAACGACGTCAAGTAAGAAGCATTAAAGATAAGCCCAAGTAGTGCTTTCATTTCTATACAGAAATGTTATGCTTGTAAGACGGTGTTGAAATTAGTCTCATCGTTGGGCGCCTGGGTGGCTCAATCATTAAGCGTCTGCCTTCGGCTCAGGTCATGATCCCAGGGTCCTGGGATCGAGCCCCGCTTCGGGCTCCCTGCTCCGCGGGAAGCCTGCTTCTCCCTCTCCCACTCCCCCTGCTTGTGTTCCCTCTCTCGCTGTGTATCTCTCTGTCAAATAAATAAATAAAATATTTTAAAAAATTAGTCTTGTGGATTTTATCTGAATGAGCACTTTCTTTGGAGACAGTATGTGGGGTGTGGCATCCCTTGTGATCCTACTGATTGCCATTCTCGAGAGTTTTAGTGCACATGAAAGGTGAGCATAAATGCACCCCTTTACCTTCCTTCATTTGTCCCCTGCCTTGCATATTAAACAAAGTATCTGTAGATGAAACGAAAGACAGAAAGTGTTCAGGTGTGCACTTGGAAACACAGCTGCCAGCCCGCTCCTCCCCTCTGGGTGGGTGTCCAGCTGGGGCAACAACCGATGATGCCCAGCTCCCTGCACACCCACTCTTCTGCACCCTCAAAACAGCCCTGAGGGTACAACAGAGTGACATGACCAACGGAGGGGGCCTGGGACAAGGGAACGGGCAGATCCTTGAGAAGGCCAGGTGACACCGTCTGAATTCTGTAGGTAACACGGCCACCCAGCAGTACTGAAGACGTGGTGTTTCCATACCGTGTCGAGTCATGAGAACTCCAGAGCGCTGACATTCCCTAGACACAATTAAAACCCCACTCCTCTCGTCTGGTATCACATGCCCCAGAATGTCATCCCAAACCGCTGTGACGTGCACACGGGATGGTGTTCAACCCACCTGTTCGTCTGCGGAAGGTCGGGAATATCTGTCTCTCCGTGGCGCCGTGAGAAACAGCCACGTGGTGGATGAGGTTTTCCACACGGACACAGAGCTGTCCCCATGGGACTGATGACTTTATCCATCCCCGGGAACAGATGGGACACGCAGCGTGCCAAGATGCTGGGCTCATGCAACGCTGCGCTCCATCTGACTGGTCTCCCTCAAGCCTTGGACTGAGGCATCCGGTTCTATCTTTGGAAACTCTTGATTTTGAGCACAAAATAAATGAGGTGCTAGCAGGTTATCACCCAAAGCGTAAAATGAATAACCACGAATCCGTACTGATATAGGTTGTTGGTTAAATGGATAAACACACAGGGGAGAAGAGGCATATCTCCCATGGAGAAGAATTCCAAATAATTCACCTAAATAGTCAGGACTCAGGGTGGTGGAGCAAATCTCCCCACGCCTTCCGTGTGCGCTGGGCAAAGTGACTTCCTTCCAGAGAATAACCTTATGGCAGAGAAACCAGATCAACACACCCCAACCAGGTGATCAATGCCAACAGTGATGAATCAGGTTGATGGATGCACCTGGATACGAGGTGATGTAAAGGACACTTCATCTCAATGATTTCCTACCCAAGAACCTATAAGCCCGGTCAAACCCGGTTTTCCAGGAGTAAAACATCATAGAAACCCCAATTGAGGGGCATCCTACAAACTCCCTGACCAGCACTCCTCAAAACTCTCAAGGTCGTCAAATACAAGGATGGCCAGAGAGACCGTCCCAGCCCAGAGGAGCCCAAGGACATGAGACAACCCATTGTAATATGGGATTCTGGATGGAGATCTGGGACACAACAGACATATCTGGGGGAAACCAAGAAAATGTGAGTAATATGTGGGCTTTAGTTACTAGTGATGTATCTGTGTCCGTCCATTAATGGTAACAAATGCATTAAAGTCGTGTAAGATGTTAACGGGAAGGGGAAATGAGTGTGGGGTCACAGGAAATCCAATTATCTTCACAACCTCTTTCTCATCCTGCTTAGCCTGACTACTCTAAAAACAGAATTTTTTTTTTTTTAATTTTAAAGCTTATTTTTTAAAAAAAGCTACGTGGGCTTGGTGCAGTCGGGATGCCCGCGGGAGCCGTGCATTTCCCTTCTGCTCACAGGAGCATGTCCCTTGTCCGTAGGTCTTGGCTTCCAAGATTGGGCCACCATCTCCAGAGGCAGCAGAAGGAGCTTCCCTGGAGGGTGGTCTCTGATGGCAGGTGCGTGTGTTGGGGAATCGGGGGGTGGGTGGGCAGCAGTATGGGGATGTGCATGGAGCAGGCTGGTTCCGGGTTGGGCGTCTACGGGTTATGTCCTGGGTTGGCTCCATCAGCAGCCCCGATCATGCCTTCTTGTCAGGAACACATCGGGGGCTTGTGGTCCATGAGCGTCCCCAAGCATGCGTGAAATGGTTAGTAGGGGCTTACCCACCGGCATGGTTGCAGCCCCTGGTCTTTGTCCACAGCTCCCTGCCTTGATTTCCACTTGGATTTGCCCCAGCTCCGAGTCAAGGAGGACGCAGGCTTGACAACGATCTTGTCCCCAAAGCTGTGTCCGGGGTGGGGCTCATTACGCTGGGTCTGCAGGATGCATGCTTGTCGCTCTCGGTCCACGGGGGCCCATCTGGAAATTCCGGTCCGTTCACCGAAGATTTACCAGAAATCTCACAGAGCCCAGGCGTTACCTTTAAAGATAATGGGCAAATGCAAACATTCATCTCCCCTTCAGGGAGTTCTGGGAACCAAGCAATCCGCTCAAACTCTCAAATCGTGTGGGAAAGCTCTCGGCCCTCGGAGGGAGATCGTTCTGGGGCACGGCAAGCTCAGGGGCTCTGGGGGTACAGCAGCTGATGGGCAACCATCACCTTGCATGGGGAAAGGTCCTTTCTCATGTGGAAGTCGCCATGTGTGTGTGCACGTGCTTTGCCCAGTTACCCACGGTAATGTGCTGTGGATGCTGGCATCTGAACCGTGCATGGGTGGGGGGGGCACGGGGGTTCGTGAACTCCATCGTGGTCACCGAAACCCGAGTGTCCAAAGCCAGCTGGAGAGAGGCGTCCATGGCAGAGACGCCTGGCTCTCCAGTTCCCTCTCCCACGGCTTCTGTGATCTAGACGCGGGCACCCACCACCTCCCCGAGTCTGGGGATGGCACCCATAGCAAACACAGGGGACGTGAGGGAAATCACGACTCACAGGGACCCAAGTTAGCGGGGAAACTGAGACATAGAGGGCAGCAAAGTCATCCATCCGGATGGACCTCACGTAAGGACACAGGGAGCTTATGAAATCACACACACACATACACGCAACCTGCGCACACACGCAGTTTCAGCCTTAGACATGGAACCTTCACCATAACCATATAGCTGCAATTCTTCTTAACTTTTTTTTTAAAGATTTCATTTATTAGAGAGAGAGAGCATGATCAGGAGGCAGAGAGAGAAGCAGGCTTCCCGCAGAGCGGGGAGCCCAATGCAGGGACTTGATCCCAGGACCCTGGGACCATGACCCGAGCCGAAGGCAGACGCTGCCGAGGTCCCAGAACGCGGGTAAGGCTTCAGCAAGTGGAATAAACCCAGAGCTGAATGAAGACATGAAGCACAGTGTCTCGGAGGACACGAGGCAATTGCGTGGCGTCCCTCGTTGGATGCTCTTCCGTGGCCATCAGGCGGCTGTGAACACGGACGCGGCCAGACCGTGCCGTGTGCCGATAACACCTGAGTGCATTGCACCTGCTTCTTCGGTGCCCTGGGGCGGCCGTAACAAATGTCCCCGCGCTTGGTGGCCCAGCACGATGGAAGTGTGTTCTCTCCCAGCTCCCGAGCCTGGACGCCCAAAATCACCGTGTGGGCAGAGCTGGGTCCTCCCGGAGACTACGAGGGCACCTCTGTGGCCGGGCTTCTGTCCCAGGTACGTGGGGCTGCCGGCCATCCTCGGCATCCCCTGGCTGGTGGACAACCCCCCATCTCCGCCTCGGCCTACCCCTGGCCTTGCCCCCCACTCATCACACTTGGAGCCCAGAGACTTCAAACGCAGATCCTGCTTCCCAGCAAGAACCCTGGGGCTCTGGCTTCTCGTGTTTCAAGGTCCCAGCATCGTTGTGCAGAAAAGCCTCTGTGCACATTTTATTATTTTTCTCAATATTTTTTTAAAATTTAAATTCAATTTGTCAACCTATCGAGCAGTGCATTTAAAGAGAATTGGATACAAAGTTGCAACCCATGGGACAAGAACAATGTCTTTCTTGTCTACCACCTTATTCCCAGTGTTTGATTCAATGCCTTCAAATTATATGAACACAATATTATTTTTTAATAAATAAATGAGCTCTCAAAAAAAAAAAAAGTTGCCAAGCCAGCTCTGAGATATTTTCATTGGTTCTGAGACCCCATTGCTTGAGGCTGGGTGGTTCTGATTTCCCCTAAAACAGCCACAGGCTGTCTGGGCTTCCAGGGGCACAAGGAGAGCTTGTGGGGATTTCTAATCAGGCAGAAGCCCCTCCGGTCAGCCCCCCGAGGCAAAGGGTTTTAATTCGCATTTTCCCCCATGACTACTGCGATGCAGCATCTTCTTACCTGCTTCTGGGCCATTTGGAGCTCTGCTTTGGGACAATATTTCTCCCTATCTTTTGCCCAGTTTTTAAAAAAATGGGATTATTTGTTGTATTATGGAGTCACAAGAACTCTCTGTATATTCTTGATACATGTCCTTGATCCAATACATACTTCCAAGGGGAAAAAAAAAATGCTTTACTTAAAAAACAAAAAAAAAAACACTTGACCAAGCTGGGGAAATTTTTTATTTATTTATTTTTGGGGGGGCGGTGTTTAAAAATCTGTTTCGTTTTGCTTCGTGTTTACCTTCCAGGAAGATTAAAACAACAAAACAGCAAGAATACACATGAAAGTACTTTGAAGGGAAACTGAAAAATCCGTTGGTCCGAGGGGAACGTGGTGGAAGATTAAGGTAATTTATCCTAAGATCCTAAATCTCCTCTGACTGTTCCTGCCTTTCCCAAATTTCCACGGGTTTCTGTTTGTGAGGGCACGCTCCACGTAATCTGATTTTTATTGCTATAAACATACAGTGATGTATATCGCCGTGCTGACCATCCTCAGTAAACTATGACCGGTACGGATAGAGATTAAAATAAAAAAAAAGAAAAATTACTCTTTCTTTTTTTATGGCTTCTTGAGGCATTCTATCTGCTTTTGCAACCCAAAAATTTTGAACGTCCTCATGAATCTGCCCAACGCGCGATGACTTTATTATGTTCATAAAACTATATCAGCTGCATCCCTGGGCTCATCGTAAAAGAGAAGGCTCATGCCCATGATCGGTGTTTTTCAATCGCAGTGGACGAGGATGCTCCGTGGGCTGCAGCAAACACAGCGCTCCGTGTTGGACAGAAAGCACCCAGACCAGACTGGGTACCCACCGTGCTAGACTCAGAGTCACCGTTTTCACATTGTTTGCTCGGGGCAGGGACAGTGCCCGACGAGCCCGTTACTCCCTTACAAACCCAGGGCCATCCATTTCCCTGGTGCATTTCCCTGTTCAGACCACAGCGGGATAGATTTCTGGGGACTCTCAGATGGTAATGTTTAAAGCGAAACAAAGAAGTCTTCTGTGCACCTGCTCCGGAAGACAAGTCTCGGGAGCATTGCCCACTGGGAAAACCCATCACGGGCAGCCCACATTTTGTGTTGACCGGCTTGTGCACAGCCAAGCGGTGACCTGGCCCTCCTTGTGACCGACTGGAACCAACCAAGACGTGGAGGGACCGGGATGAGGGGTTCAGGTGGCTCCTAACCTGGCGGGAGCTACTAGGCTGGATCATAGGGGGGACTTTTTAAATCTCTGGTTTCACCCTTGTAGGTATTGGCCCGCATGGTGCCCGGCAAAGTCAGCTCCTGGGTGTGCTAGGATCTGCCCACGGCAACGTCATTGGTGAAGATCTTTGCTTTGGGCACAACAGGGATGAGCCGTCCTGGGGTGGGCGCCTTACCAGAAATCTGTCCCCGCTTGGGGGGGACGACCAGCCTCTTTGTGTTGCTGAGAACATGATAGACCCTTTGGACTTTGGCTCTTCCAAACTATGTCCCCTCTCTCCCCTGCAAACAGCCCCCGCCCTCCACCGCTAAAACCGCTACCCTCTCCAAATGCAAGAAGAGAACTTGCCATCCTATAAGGGCTTTCTTTCTTTCTTTTTTTTTAAATTAAGATGAGTGCCCTTGAATTGGAAATGTCTCTTCTTGCTGTAGATTTTGAAGACACCATTTTCTTCCTAATTTCTCCACCTATGGCCGCTCCTCGCGGTGGTAATAGGACATCACGCTGAAATTTGGGACTAATGTCTGAAGCTTTCTTACTGTTTTTGTTTGTTTGTTTGTTTTTTTAATGACTGGCATTTAAGACGACATATCGAAAACCAGCTCCTCACTGTTGGATTCAATTCTGGATTAGAAGCACTGTTAACCGTTTCCGCGCGGACGACCTTAACAGAGCAGTTAGGTCCCAAGCATGCTCCAATGTAGGAGAAAAAATAAAGGAAGTGGGGCCGGGAAGAGAGCTTGGCATGGATGGGTCTCGCCGCCGTTGATTGCCGACCTGATTTTAAAGTCAGACATGGGATCCGCTCCCCGCCTCGGGTGCTTTCTGCTGCGTAGCTACTCGTCCTTGATTCGAAGACCTATTATTTCAAGTCATACAATCGCGGGTGGGACAAGTCCCCGCGGGTCCTTTAACATGGGGCTCCCCGTGTCGGTGCCGAGAGTTTGACGGTCAGTGGAAGGCAGTGAGCTGGTCCCGGTGAGGGATGGGCAGGTGCCTGACCCCCGCCCCCAACACACACACATGCACGCACGTGCACACAATACAATTTTTATTCGGGTGGTACCGCCTTGCCTTTCTGAGGGTGCCACCTACGTCCATGTTTACTTCTTTTTTTAAAAAATATTTAATTATTTATTTGAGAGAGAGAGCAGGTAGAGGAGCCGAGGGACAAAGAGAGAATCTCAAGCAGACTCCGTGCTGAGTGATGAGCTGGATGTGGGGCTCGATCCCAGGACCCTGAGATCATGACCTGAGCTGAAACCAAGAGTTAGAAGCTTAACCGACTGCGCCACCCAGGTGCCCCCCCGTACCCTGTTTACTCCTCCCCTTTCAACCTGAATGCTGTGTGTTTATCTCTCTAACAATCACACAGCCCCGGTTAGGACTCCCCATACGGTGCAGAATTGCACCGATGAGATCAGACGCCTTTCCCTCGTCCGCACACGTGGCTGGGAAAGCATGTGTTCTCCCCGGGATTCAGAAACCCCCCTCAATTCCGAGCTTGCTGAAGGTCATCAGTGCCAGGTGGATTTTATCAAAGCCTTCCTCTGCCAAATCAAGATGACCCTGTGGGTTTTTCTTTCTCCCACCTGTTAAAAGGGTGGGTACCTGATACCAGGTGGGTACCTGGATTCCTTGTCATGAAGGAGCCCGGAGTAATGTCCACCATAAGCCGTGCTTGGTCAGGATCTGTCATGCTTTTTCTACATGTGATGGGGGCGCCTGGGTGGCTCAGTTGGTGAAGCATCTGCCTTCAGCTCAGCTAATGATCTCAGGGTCCTGGGATTGAGTCCTGCATCGGGCTCCCTGCTCACAGGGGACCCTGCTTCTCCCTCTCCTCCCCGCTCATGCTCTCTCTCTCTGACAAATAAATAAATAAAATCCTTAAAAAATGTATTTCTAAATGTGATTTGCTGATATTTTGTTGAGGGTTTTTGCATCTTTGCCCACAAAGGAGATCCATCTGTGGTTTACCTTTCTTGTCTTCTCTTTGTTTTTGCATCTAGATAAGTCTGCTCTCATAAAATGACTTGTAAGTCCAGTTTTCTTGATAATTTTTGTACAATCTGTGATATGTTATCACTAAATGTGTCAGAGAATTCATCAGTAAAACCGTTTGGACCTGGAGTTTTCTTTTAAAAAAAATGCTTTTAGCTAACAATTTGATTGATTTCATCAATACAGGACAACTCAAGTTACCTATCTCGTCTTGCATGGGTTTTCTGAGGATGTGAGGAATTGCTCTATTTTATGTAAACTGCTTAACTGATAGGTGTACGTTTTTTGTTATTATTTTCTTACTATCGTATCACTTTCTGCAAGATCTGTGATGAAGTTGGCCTTGGGGCTGAGCCAGAGCCGGCAAAAGAGGGGAAAATATCAGAATCTTCCCAGTTGCCAAATTCCACCTGTTCGGGTGAATTCCAGGAGACAACAGAGAAAAGAAATGTGTGTCTGTGTCCAAATCCCCCTCTTCTTGAAAGGACACCAGTCACTGGATTGGGGGCCCGCCCTTCCTAGCACAACCTCATCTTCACTAATTACATCTGCAAAGACCGTATCTCCAAATGAGGCGCACGTCGAGATACAGCGGCGGCATGTCCCCAAGCCCGTCTGTACCATCTGCTCTCTCGGAGGGCTGCTGAGTGATTCGGCCACAGCATGCTGATACAGAGCCACGTGGATTCTCGGAGATGCCCACTGTGGCCTCGTCGACAACCTGGGCAGGGGACCGAGGCGGGTAGAGCACACAGGGCAGTTTGGACGAGACTTCAGTCACCCTCAGGTCACAGCCTGGGTGTCCTGGTGCTGGATGATGCACAGGGAGCGTGGACACAGTCACCAGTCCACGGAAGGCCCTCCCAGGATGGCCAACAGTGAACAGAGAGGGTGTGTCTGAGCTGGGCAGTGTGCACTCCCGTGGAGACCCGCATGGTGCAGCTCCGGGGTGGACACAGGAGCTCGCTCAGCTTGCACAAAGCTCCGGGTTCTGGGAGACTCCAGACACTCACAGCGGGCTGGCCCCACTGCTGTCCGCTGCCCCCTCCATATCGAAGCCCTATGTCCACTGTCCTGCTGTGAGGAGCACGGCCCCGTCTCCCGCGGGTCCTGACTCCCCGGAGACGTGTGGCGATGCCAGGTGTCGGGAGCAGGAGCTGGGTGGCCAGGATGAGCACGCCTGCCCTTCCTGAGCTCGAGAAGGACGGGGGCCGCGGTCCGTGCCGCAGACGACACGGGGAGGAAGTCACACCACCCAGGTATGTGAGCGCCTGGGGCTCCAGCTGAGGGTTTCCTCCTCCTCACCGCATGGCAGACGTGGGGGACGTGGGGGAGGCGCTGGGTGTGGGGCCTGCGTCTATATCACTCACCAACCCCCCGCCTTGATGCAACACACGCATGTTGCACGCACACACACGAGACGCATACCTCTCACACATGCGTGTGCATCCACACCCGCTCTCACACTATGCACACGTCCACGTGCTCACACATGTGGCCGCCCCCACCCTCATCATTGCCAGGTTCCCTTCTTGTCACCGCCGTCTCTGAAAAGCTCCACTTTCTGTTCCGGATAGATGTCTCGTTAGTAATGTCATGTAATTATTAATTTGTTATATATAAGTATTAATTATTGCTTATTACTTATTAATTAATTTTACATATAATTGTTAATTATTATTGCTCATTACTCATTAATCTATTACATATAATTATTAATAATTATTACTTATTTCTTATTAACTAATTTGTTATATATGATTATTAATTATTATTACTTATCAATTAATTTATTATATAATTATTAATAGTTATTACTTATTAACTAATTTATTATATATGATTATTAATTGTTATTACTTATTAATTAATTTATTCCATATAATTATTAATCACTATTGCTTATTACCTATTAATTAATTTATTATATATAATTATTACTTATTACTTATTCACTAATTTATTATATATAATTATTAATCGATTAACTAATTTATTGTATAATTATTAATAATTGTTGCTTATTAATTATTATTGCTTATTATTAATTATTACTTAATTTATTACATATAATTATTAATTATTATTGCTTATTACCTATTAACTAATTTATTATATAATGATTACTTATTACTTATTAACTAATTTATTATATAATTATTATTACTTGTTGCCTATTAATTAATTTATTATATAATTATTAATAATTGTTGCTTATTATTAATTATTACTTATAATAATTATTTATTATTACATTAGTAATAAGCACATTACTAATTGCATTCATACACGCTGTTAATAAAATGGTATTTTACTCATTATAAACGAATCGTCTTTATTTCACATAAATAAATCATTTATACTTATCATAAGAAATAATATGTAACATATACTAACATAAACTTAATTAAATAAAATCACTTAATAATTAATAATTAAAATTAAATGATACAAATTACTATCATTGCGGGACTACTATATTATCATTATGATTCTCATCTTCCTCTCGGCAGCAGCGCTGTTATTACGATTGCTAGTACTGTGATCATCGTAGCGATGTCGTCGTCATGGAGGCAGTATCATGATTATTACTCTCACGGTAACGGTATTACTTTACTCTCACGGTGGCAGTATTACTGTAATTATTGTTACAATCACAGTGGCGGTGCCGTCCTTCTCACGGGCACGGAGCGGTGCCGTCGTTCTCACGGGCATGGTACCATTATATCACCATCATGATCACAGAGGCAGCATTACTCCTGTCATGGTAGCGGTCTTACTCCCATGATAGCAGGATTAGTCTCCTACTGCTCCCTCTCCGGACACAATAGTGCTATCGTTACGGTATCACGGTAGGAGTACTGTGAGTACTGTCACAGCGTCAGAGACTGACACGGCATGGACACCAGCAGACACTACACCAGACACGGCTGCAGGTGTTCTGTGGGTAGTAACCCACTTCAGGCTCTCAAAGCCCAGAGAGGCACTCCCTACGCTCACCCTCATTTGCACTGCGATGCTGCGGCACATGGAGCTCAATACCTTTCCCCAGGTCCCCCAGCTGGGAAGTGGTGGAGCCTGGCTACCCCCCACGCAGGCTCTGCCCACAACTGGTTCTACCACGGCCACCCCGTGCCTCCTCTCTGAATAGGATGTGCACATCTGCTTCTGTGCTTTGTGGGCTGCCCTCAGCGTGGACTCGGGATGTGCATTCCTCTTGGGTTAAGCCAGAAGGAAAACCCTACACCAACACCAACATCAAACCTCCACCATTCCATCCATCCATCCATCCATCCATCCATCCATCTCCCCATCTTTTCTTCTCAACTCTCTTCATGGCCCTGCTGCCCACTTACGCCTTCATGTATTCATCTCCTTACATGGTCTGCAGAACGTGGTCTCCCCTGAACCTCACCTCAGCTCTCGGGACTCACACCTGAGAACGTGTTACATTACACAGCACAGGTACTCTGCAGGTGTAATTAAGGCTCCTGCCTGCTGAGATTGCCCCCGGATTACCCAGGCTGAGCCCATGCAAGCACAGGAGCTCTAAAAATCAGAGCTTTCCACTTACAGAGGGCGGAAGACGAAGTCAAAGATTGAAAGCATGAGACCTTCTGGCGGCACATCTGCTAAGACCGGGTCGACTCCAAAGACAACCAGCAATGCCCCCTCTAGAGAGATAGAGGGCTTCATCATACTTCTTCACGCATGAAACAAAGAAGCTTCACCCATGATGGTGAAGCTTCTTTCCCCACCCCGAGCCCTCGTGAAACAGAGACGTCGGCATTCACTAAACCGTTTCCAAATGCCCATCTAATTGGATTCTCTCAACACATTTAGGTATCAATCTGATTTACAAAAGCATTTCTTCAGAGCTTAATTACAAGTGTACGCAACAGGATTTACACTTGAAGCTCCTCGTTTCTTTCCGCCATCCAGCCATCCAACCAGGCGAAAATAAACAAGTGGAGCTGTATGCACAGTTTTGACTGTGTCAACACAGCGTCTAAATCAAGCCGCTTGTTTGGTTTTAATTAGTGGAAGTTTGGCTTTAGTAGGAAAAACATCATTTTGGAAAAGAACTTAGTTCTAGGGTTGGAAAATTGTCATCAGTTGAGGAGAAATAAATGCCTCCAATTTGCCACATGAAAATGGATG